CTTCCGATGTTGCCTTGAGAATATATGCTGCCTCAATAACAAGTATACAGGCAGAAAAATATTCACGGCACCCAACCATTCAGGCTCACATTTTCCATCATACTTCCTTAACGATTCAGTGAACATCCTTTTTTGTGACCACTACTATCAGATTTACAGCATTTGTTCTCTCTGACTTTCCTAACATTTACTATCTCAGTACTGTAACCTTTTAATTGAAGAGATCAGGCTTACTATAAAATTGAGTTATCCCTACATTTAAGTTGTTGCACTTAATTTCTACACATAAAAGGCTACATATCTAATAGAAGATGAGAAAACCCCAACACAACACAGGTGTGGATCATCATTCAGTATCCTCCTTTCTTCATTTAAAGAAATGTTTCAGAATTTGTTTCTGCAGAGGTGAAAATCATAACCTCATGCTATAATTTACTGAAGTTCAAGCCTTTACACTAGATACTCCTTTGCCTGTCATGAGAAATAATATTAGTTTGCCAATACTATGTATTCAGCTATGAATTGGTCAATAAAAAGTTATCACAGCACTCATGGTAGTGGCATTTAAAGAAACCACAATGATACACAAGCTATCAGCAATTTTATTAAAGTACCCCTCTGCTTCAATACAACTTAACTCAAGTGTGAAGAAAGCAGAATCATCACAATCAGAGCACATACGTGCTATAAAATTATTAGTTCACAGATGGTTACTTCCAATACTGCAGAACTGGAAAGGTCCAACTGACGGTAACAGCTTCTCACAAACTTTGAACCAAACCACAATCTCTGCTTGGCAAGCCTGTCAATAATGAGAGGACAACTACTTCCTCATTATTTTACTTCCACATTGTGAAAGTCAAAGCAGTCAAACCAAAGACAGAGCACTACGGTTTTGCTGATAAGGCCTCTCTCAGATTTCTGATAGAGCCACAGAAGGACTTACAGGATTGTCACTGTGATATAAACAGTTGTGTTTACAAAAACTCATTAGATGTAGTTTCTCAGGATTGCAGACATTAATCAAGAGACAAACCAGGACTTTTTTAAAAGGTCTGAAGGCAAATGCTACAGGTTATTGCACAAACCCCTGAGGAACTCTGGCCATCTGAAGTAGTCACCAGGACCACTTCACACCTCACAAAAGCAGTGTAGCAGAAAACAGCTCACTGCTCCAATACACTTCTCAAAAGGAGAAAACTTGTGCCATCACCAGCTCTACTTCTGACAGCAACTCTACTTTCCCACTGGTGTTTCTTACATAAACTGATCCAACCTGGACGTACTAAGCTTGAAATATGCTTACCAGAAAGGCAATAAAAAGAAACCTAGAAAGTCATAGGGAAGTGGGTGCAAGACATGGAGCCTCCAAAGGAAAGGAGTTGACAGAAGGACTGTCCAGCAGGACAGAAACTCACTGTAACAGAAGCTAGGTTTACATAGTCAAAAGCTGCAGGAGATGTGGTCAGAGCCTGCTAAAGTCAGAGCACACTCCATTGAGACCACAGAGCAAGTCACAGAAACGCTAAGCCTCACTAGCTCATATCCTCCGTGCAGGAGTGACACCTTGGTGTTGGTTGGTGTCCTAACATTCTGTTAGGATAGGGACAAAACCACCAGCAGCTCTTCTAGTGAATAACACAGATACAAGTAGGAAGTTCTACTCTTCCACCCCCACACTGTGGTTTTGAGGAGGTTGTCACACACATGCCACACAAACATATATGTAGCAAGGTAGCAGCTAAGTGCTAAAACCAAAGAGGAAATTTGCTTAATACAGACCCCTTGTAGTGATTAAATCAATAAAGCCAAAGAGCATGTGCACACATCCTCTGTAATGCTCCCATCATATTACGCACATAGGACAGATACAGAGGAAATAATATACTGCTTTCTTTGGAAATCTTGCTTCCTTCATTGCAGAAGTTGAAGGAGGCAGGGGAGACTAGGGTGCTGGGAAGTCAGACACCAGTCTTTTAAGCTATGAATTATTCTTCCATGCCTCTAATTTGAGAATCACAGAATATTCACAGCTTACCAAATTAAATCAATCAAGATGTGTTTGAACATAAGTGATATATAAATGTTATGTATTCTGAAACATTAGGTCTTTTTCACTTGAAAAACAAGATTCTTCAGGTGGAAGGTATCTTTGCCCTACATTTCCTGATTCTCCATCTGCAAAAGGACTGCCCTTTCTCACCTTTCACCTCAAAGAGCTGGAAGGAAGGAAGGGAGAGAAGAAGGCTACATACGTGAAGAATCTGGCACAAGGAAATTTAATAACACTGTTTTCAAAGCCAAGTACTAATTGCATGCAAGAAAGGAAAAAGCACCAGATTCTTAAAAAATGAGAATCACATATTAATAAATATTGGCTCAGTATGTATTTCCAAGCACACTGAAAGTACTATCCTTTAAGAGGGGAAAAAACCCTATATAATTAAAAAATGATATATAAAAAACCCTATATAATTAAAAGATGATACATCATTATGCATGACTACAAGATCATAAAGTTCTCAAAAAAAGCACGATAAGTGTTTCCAAACATGGTTTACATGCAAGATCCTGTACAATGGTGACAGAATATGTATATTGTCAACATGATAACAATGCACGTTTTCATGCTGATTCCCAGGGAATAATGCAGCCAAAAAAACCACTTAGAATTCCATACCTTGATTATTTCCACCAACTGATCCACACCACTGTCACCTGGAAAGATTGGTTGTCCTAGTAACAGTTCAGCCAATACACAGCCTGCTGACCACACATCTGAAAAGAGGAAAGCAGAGGACAGGGAAAGGTATCAGTAAAAGGCACATATTAGGCCATTTATATATAAAAAGCAGTTTTAAGCTACTTGCTTTCTTCTTTGCCATGTTTAATACTGTATATAACACAGCTAAAGAAAACACAGATACCTGGCATAAAGCCATTGTGGGCAGAGTGTCTTAGAAGTCAAACCATGAGACAACGAGAAACTGGAAAATAATGTTAAACGCCGTAAC